AGATCATCCCTTGACAACATGCGTGGAGGTCGATTGGAGATTTCCATCATAAGTTTTAAGGCTTTGTTAGCAGATTTATGAAGGGAATTTGAAATGAGGATCTTGGATGGACCATTCCCACTAGACCAACAGAGAATTAAAATTTATACATAATAGACGGTGTGAAGGGGAAATTCTTGAAAGCTCCGGGATCAACTTGTTGGACTTTTATGGGAGCTTGCTAAACTTTCCCCCTCGGTGATTTTTTAGTATTGTGTAAGGGAGGCGGAGGGTAGTGAAGCTAGTTTTTTTTGCCCACGTACATATTAACGTCTTGTGTAAAGTTGATGCATTAAAAAATATATATATTTGAATTATTCAGTACTAGATCTTGTATTGTTACCTTAACAAAAGTTAAAGATTACGTCGAACTCCCTACCTTCTTGTTATCTATGGCGTGTCTTATCAAAAGAATTACTAATCAAATGGGTACGGAATGCTTTAGAAACGGGTCACTGTGGGTGTTATGTGTGATGTGTTGAAAATAAACCCAAGAAACCAAGGTTATCGAGATAGCAAAAGAAAAACAGTTTAAAGATTTTCAAAAGAGCAATTAGATAAGGGTTATTAACTTGTTATAGTGTCTCATCATGACTTATCTATTTATAGCAATACCTATTTAATGGCGTTCTTTTTATTCAAAGGTCATTTAATTCAATTATTACTGCGCACTTTTATTTCGACATTATTAGGAAATCTGAAAATACGATCTGCTTAATGAGACTGTTATTGTGAGAACACGATTCTTCTCTTTACTTTTCATTTAAGTACAGCAAGTAGGAACAAATAACTTTACCTATCCAGGTTATTTAAGACGTCAGAAACTTTTATATGTTATATAACAGATTCTTCGCCAAAGTTTCCTTAAGGAACTTTCGAAACTCCTACTAATATATTGTCCCCAAAAAGCACTTAATCGGGACAGTTGTATTGTTCCAGGTAGTCTACGTTTGGTATAACAGGTTTCAGAAACAAATGATATCACTATCCTACAAGTTGCTTTGTTGTATTGTCTAACAATCCTTTGTGTATAAAGTGTGAATAAAGCAACTTTATGTGATGGGTTGCCACCGCCATTTTGTTATTGCGTCAGCGTCATCTAGCTAATTGTGCTGCTCTTTAAAATATACTTTGTGTGAATCTCTTCTAGTTGATTACTATTAGGAAAATTAGCATATTCATTTAACTTCTTCAGTTGAATAATTCCGCAACTAATTTTGTGCCACGTTTACAGTTTTGAGCTATATATTTTTAATGTAACCAAATATCACTGTCGGCTAAGATTATAAAATATGTATTTTTACAAGGTTTATCATTAGACTCACACACAGAATTAGTGAAATACCAATGAGGAACCCAATATATATATATATATATTTCAAATAATAACTATGTTTACCTGTGTGACTGGTTAAACTTAGATACGTAAAAAATTGTCACCTAAAGCTATCTCAGTTTAAAATTACGACCAGAAGGAAAGCCCCCCAGTGGCTCAGCGGTATGTCTGCGGACTTACAACGGTAGAATCCGGGTTTCGATACCCGTGGTGGGCAGAGCACAGGTAACCCATTGTGTAGCTTTGTGCTTAATTACAAACAAACAAACCAGAAGGAAAAGAAACTACACGACAATTTATATTAAGTTTTATTTCTTAAAATTGATTGGAGAATTTGCACACGTATAGAATTGTAAGACTTGCTAGCATCTCTTTGCAACAAGCGTGGTTTCTCAACTAGAGTACACAGCATGTTTAAATATTAAAAAAATCGAATTCCTTTAACCCGGATTTAATGAAATGTACAACTTTAACATAACTGAGAGAAACTACTAAAATATAAACCAATGAAAATCACTTGCGTTAACACAAAACCAGACAAGTTAACGTTTAGTAAGGGGCTTACTAAACTGAGTAATTAATTCAAAAATACATTAACAAAAACATTTATAGTAGGCTGATTCGGATTTTAATTATTACAACGTTTCGACACATAGTATTGGGTCATTATCAGGTAACAGTTACATTAAAGAAATTGAAAATCATTAAAATTAATATGTGCCTACTGTAAAGACTGATGTTATTACATTTTTTGAATTAATTAAAACCAGATAATCTCTACTAAATAAATATTAATAAACATCGCGATTGACCCTTATATCTCTTTAAAAATGGGCCTAGTTTAAAACAATAACTCGACCTCTCTGATAGCAATTGAACCCTATTGACTAATTATTTGACACTTCCAGAAACAAGGAATTCGGATTCTGTTTTCTTAATATGTATTATACTTCATAATATTGCGTTAACTGAAATAAATTTTGTGTGTCTTCTTTCTTAATAAAGTTTGAGTTATTGTCTTTTGTTGTCTAGTATCTCGTACCAATATAATAAATTGTAACCCTTGTTACTTGGTGCTGTTTAATTCTAATTGTATTGAATTAAATCTGGTAGATATCTTTTGAAGTATAGAGAGTCGCTTAAGAAAATTTAGGTTCTGTCAACTAGAAGGAGAAACAGGTCAAAACTCTATTAAGTGCTGACGTCTGACAATTTCAAATTAGTTAAGACATACTTGTACTAAAAGTCAGTACGTTGATTATACAACTTAATGTTTTTACCAGCAAAGTCCTAACAATAGAAACTTTCATGGTTATCATCTAAGTAATTCTAGACTTGAGGAAACAATAACATAATGAAATCCTAAGCTGATAAACAGTTTCTTAAAGGTTTATTAAAAATCAAAAGTTCAGAGGTGTATAAAAAGTATGGTTTTAAACCCGGACGAAGAATTTGCTTTTTAATCTACGTTAAGTGTGTGTGCTGCATTTACAATTTGTAAACAATTTCGAAACATACATCTTGAGTTTGATTATGGTAAATGGTACAAACTGGTATACACAAACAATTATAAAATCAAATTGAGAGCTTATAACGTTAAAATTCAGAGCTCAGTCCCTGCGGTGAGCACATGCAGAACAAATTACTCATTGTTCAGCTTTGTGCTTACAACAGACAAACCATTTACTAAACTTGTATTTCTGAAAAATTAGGTAGTGCAACTTGCAGGAGTGGATTGGGATTAAAAACGACCTGAGAAAAGGGTTTTTATACCAGTCCTGCAAAGGAGGGGGAGCTCTTAAAAAACTGGGCCGGTTCTGCACTGAATGTGTATAATATGTACGAACAACAATACTTCATACAAAATTATTGAGTTCTCATCTAACTTATATTACACTTATATCCCGCTTCAGTACTGTATAGACTATCAAATTACATGAACTTTAACCAAGAAGAATTTTAAAAAAAGTAATGTAATTACGCGTTACTTCTATAAGACGTTAATTAACGGGAAACTGAGCACCCGATTAAGCCCAATTTCAGCAGAGTTTAAAAGAAAAATCACATATTTTTGTATTACTTCCGGTCCAACGGGAATGTTCCTAGTTTCCAGGTGGCCTATTCCGCTCCTGGATACAAAAAAAAATACTTTTTTTTATCTAAAGGCTGAATAATCATAAAATGAATTTGTTTATTTTTTTCACAACGTCTAATGAACCGCTCAGTGAAACTACATCGAATTATACAATTCAATGATTAGTTTTGAATTTCGCTCAAAGCTACACAATGGTTATCTGCACTAACCGTCCCTAATTTACCAGTGATAGACTAGAAGGAAGGCAGATAGTCAACACCGTCAACTCTTGGGCTCTCTTTTATCAACAAATAGAGGGTGTACCGTCATATTATAATGCCTTCACGGCTAAAAGGGTAACAATGTTTGGTGATGGAAATTCGAACCCACAACACGCAGATTGCGAGTAGAGCGCCCTAACCATCAGGTTAATAATTCAATATTTCTCAACGTTTTCCAGTAACTTGCTAATCATGTAGTTAGTTGATATGCCATGCACGAATTATAATTCCTTCTCTCAATTGCTTCTTTCTTCTATTATAAATTAGACTTTGGATGACATCCAAATGGATAAAACAAATGTTTCTGGCATAACTCCCCCTCTTTGCAATATATTATTTTTCGTCATCTCTCTGTTTCCTTCTTCCATATTGATTTAACAAAAAGCAACCACAAGTTTCCAATTTGATTATTCCTTCATTTTTCAGAGAGAGATGAACGTGCTGAAAATAGCAATATTTTGCAACTGTTTCAAGAAATAACTATTTTACACTGAAAATACGCCACACGGCATGCATACACTGAGTGAAACAACAACAACAGAAGTCACACAGTCTGGCAGGAAATGAAATAAAATACTATGGTAACTTAATATGATAAAGAATTGAGCACTTGAGCGACTTGTCTTTATAGTGTTCTAAAATTATGCAAATCCATACTATATGTATATATATTCGTTACATGTATATGTTCATCTAAGCGGAGACCAGCTAAGAATGCTGAAGATATATTTATTTTATTGTCCAGTCAGGGATACAAGTTTACTTCAACATAAATCATTAAATGATTCAAATGAACTAGAAACTAGTTTTCAAACAACGTACTAAAATCGATATGGTGCCATTTCACGACAATATCATCCTGCCTCAGTTCAGTATATTTCCATAATATTCTTATAGATAACACTGTAAACACCATTTGATTGGTGGAGTGAAAAGGTTGGAAATACCAGCATAAGGGATGATAGATTTGAACTTTAAATGAAAGCTTAAGTGATGATTTTTTTTTTTTCGAATTTCTTTTTGAGAGGTTCTAGAATTATAAACCTGTGAGATTTTTTTTAATGATGTGCTATGTATAATTAGTTTGAATTAAATTATCTAAAATTCTTTCGGAGTTACATGAACGTTAATGGATATATTTAATTTAGATTTAAAAAAAGGTAAAACTTTGTTTCCTTTTTATTCTGGAAGCGAGGGTTAATCCCAGTGAACTGAATGAGTTTATTTCACATTGCCTTCTTATAAAGTTGTGTGTTTTGTTTTGCCCGTCACCAGATGGTGACACTATCGACAAATGGCAAAAGTTTCCAAACCGTAAACATGAGGGATTAATAAATAATCTTCATTACGCAGAGTTAAAAGAAGTGTAGTATTATTTTATGAACCACCACTTATAAGTTGTATATTTGTGAATTTACCTTCTGTTCTTGCATATGTTAGTTCTAAGCTATTCGTTTTATTTTTCAGAAAATAAGATACTCGTGTTTGAAGTTCAATACTGTTTAACTTTTAAACACTTAGCCTAGGCCTAATTATCATCGTAACATTTATCAAACTTCGATCACGAAAATAAGTGGTATTATGGTGACGAAACTATGTCCAAATTGTACTAAACAGGTAATGTGATTAATTTCAATTTCAATTTAGTAACACTAACAGTAGTTTAAAATGAGAAATTATTATTATTCTCGAATCCAACTGAATTGTCGACAATTTAAATACGTATATTATGAATAATTATATGTAATACTCCTTTGAATGTTTCTTGATGTTTTTTTTTAAGTTCTGTTGTGATTTACAATTAAATTTTCATCACTGTTACTTGTAAATATAGTAAATTTTATTACTGCTACACTTACCAGGGCTAAACTTGAACACAATTTAATCATTAATGAAACAAAAACTTGCTCAGAGTCAGACTCGTATCAGTCTATGACGTATTGCAATAAAATGCATGACACCATTTCCTGATCATACACAGTACAGCATATCTCATGGTTTCAGCAAATTATTTGGTTAAACTTGAAAGTAATATTAAGCTTATTACATTGCAGGTGTTTGAAAAGAATCATTTCAAAACTTTCAATAATTGTAGCAGAGAAAATAAACCATTTATAACTCACTCTGAGTTATAGAGTTCATTATACACAGAATTTGGTAAGACCTATATGTGCAAGATTGTTACATGACAATTTTTGAGCAATTTGTTAGACTGAAATTGTTATATGCCATATGCTAAAAATAAGACCTAATGTTTAATTTTATTTAAAATTTTCGGAGATCAGTGCTGTAGCAGTAGTTGAACCCTCAAGCAGATTATTTTTTATCCTAAATTTCACATTTATTTCCATTCAAAAGGTGTTTTATTAAGATATAACACAAACTAGCATTTCATCTAAACACTCCAGAACACAAATACACATACCAGTACTTCATTTTCAGGCCAAGATCACACACATTACAATAGGCAATACCAGGTTAGTTGCCAAGTCAGAGATCTGTATACTATAGATAGTTTTATTTGGTTACTACAAACTTTGAATGACCTTTTAAAAAGTCCGTAATCCTGACTGTAACATTACAATAAAATATTTGTTTCAAATCAGGCTTGCTCATTGTGTTGTGCTTAGTTCTAGTAAACTTAGAAACCTTAATTTACCAAAACAAAAAATGCCATATTTGCAGATAATCCAAGCTCCAGGAACTTTTGGAAGTCTCCTTGATCAGCATAACACCTTCCTTCCTCCCAAAAATGACCAAAAGCCTCCAGGAAATGCAAGGCTAAATATACTCCATCTTTAAAGCCCTTATATGTTTGTAAACATAGTAATAGATAGGCCAATTTCAAGTGACATATGCATACACAATTAGGTAGGTGCTAAACAAGATTGGTTGTTGGGAACGAGGTAGTTGAAGGTGGTTGGTCAGTCATTTATCCACTAAACATATAAGATTATCATGATAGCAATGCTTTAGAAGACTTGGTATTTTGAGGTCTAAAAGAATGTCTCCCTGAAATCAATCTCATGAACTTGGGCTGTCTGTATTTGTAGATATACTTTGCAAGTAACAGATCATTATCAGGTGAAATAAATATAAATTCAAAGCTTAAGATTGAGATAGAAGTCAGAGTATCACTAAGTTCATTTGACTGTTGCCACAAAACTCTTATCTGAGGCAACGGGAATCTAAGTTATTCTAGCTTTGAAATCTTTATGCACATGTGTGATGCTGTCAAAATATTGAAGCTACAATGCTTTAGAAGACTAATTTTACTTAGTTTTAGTTTAAAAGGTGCTGATAAATTATGAGCTATAAGCTTTCTAATTGCACTGAGAACAGCACAGAGACTTATCTTTCCAGTTGCAGTGATCATAGCACAGAGACTTGTCTTCTTCATAATTTTGAATTATAATCTTATGCATATCCTTGCTACTTAATGATAAAAAAGTTATTGTTTTAAGTAAATTAATATAGGCATTTAGCGTACATTATTTTTTAAAGTATATATATATAACCTCTACACTGTGTATTATATCTAATACTTTACTATAAAAAGGTTTAGCTGTATGCATCAAGAAACTAGAAGTATTTGTAGCTGTTAACAAGGTAAACCAAACTACATGTGCAAAGGTACCAAACATTATATATTTATTGAAATTTAATTTTGAGACTCCAAAGATATATATTTTGTAGTAACAGAAATGTACACTGTATAGCATTGATTGTTAGTGGGGATATGATGCATGCTTGATGAAGCATATTTATAAACATCCAGTTTAACCATACCTGTAAGTCATATACTTGTGTTAAGCATTAATTCAGTTTTAATAAATTTACATAAGATGAATTAAAATAAGCACTTGTTCATGTGTGATTGAAAAATAATTTACTAATATTGGTTACTGATTTTTTTTAGTAATGTCTATACTGTTCTGGACAATGATCGATTGTGAGTTGAAGACGTGATTTTAAAATTGAGGTGCTGCTTTTTTAATACTTTCATTTTCGTATACCTGATCATTACTTACCCATCAATCTTTAAACTTTCTACAATCATATACTTTTGTTTAATAAGGAGGTTCATTTAAATTAAAAAAAAATGATATTTTAAATAGTATAAAAAGTACAATCTAATAATATACAAGTAACCCACAGCAGTTATGTAATTTATATACAAATGAAATGCCTTATAGCACCTATAATAGCACCTTATTGTTAAAAGTATTTTTTTGTCAATTTGTTAAAACGTGGTTTAATTTGATTTGGAGGTTAAGTGTTGTATGTGAATTTGTAGCCCAAGTTTCCTAACAAACAAAAGTTAACATTGTTTTACAAATCATATTATTAATCATTGTCATAGTTAATTATTTATATGATCAACTTTTGTAAATACTGATTTACTAAAGCCCTAAGTGTTTAGTTGCACTCCTGCTGTGTTATTCAGGAGAGCTCCAAGATCTGTATTCATTGTTGGAGCCATGATTCAAACTTGTCTTTTGGTTGATTGATGCTGTTAATTTGTTTGTGTTGATGCAAATGTGGAAGTCGCTTATAAACAAGTTATTCAAATGTAGGAAGAAGGTTGCCCATGTTTTGTTTACTTGTGTGCATAACTGGCTAAGTGTGTTCGAAGTTAATTAGATATAGAAATATTTTATCTTGTCCTATTATTCTGGTACCTTTCTATTTCCCAACATGACAAAGAGCTTCTATTAATGCAAATGTCTGCCTATATGACCCTCAAAATATTTTTTGGGACACACAAAACTTTTGCATATGCATGCACCATATGTTTAACATTTCTTTCCTTACAGTAGTATAAGAAAGGAATATTTATATTTATCCTTTTTAGATCTAAATCAACCAGGATCGTAAACAGTTTACAAGGGACTCTAAAGTACACATATCTAAAATTTGATTTCTGAGTAAAATTGATTTCATCTCCAGTTGCTGGTCTGCATAAAATCAGTCTCATTTCTGACTCATAACCCACTATAGCAACATCAACCAAGAGCTGTCATCCAAAATATTAAACAAATGAAGCCTATCAAAACACTCAAATATCTTGGCAAGGCAAGGAAAATCCTTTTCTAAACCAATGCTGAAAATTCTTAAGAGTCACTTTTCTTAGAGATATTCATAAAAAAAAAAGTTCCAATCCATTGCTGGCAGGAAAAGTCTAAACTAATAGGCCTATTGTAAAATTTTGGCATTAGTGGACTGCTCCTGCCTGTGTTTACGGTGAGACAACAATTTGGCTTCAGTACTGAGGTCTTCTGCAAGTCAAAATCAAAGTTTCTGTCTGTGTAGTTTCTTTTTGTTGGTTAGTGACGTCCTGTGTATTTGTTTCTCACATCAAGAAACAAGTATAAAAGAAAACACTTTTATCACAGGACCATTTTTATAAGTGCCATTGCTACCAGACATAGTTTCTTAAATCTTCTCATAAATATTCTTTCCAAAAATAGGTACTTAATTAGCATTATTTTGATCATTAGGAATTTCCCCTGTACTAATTGGCTTATTTGAAAATAACTTGTAAACCTTAACTATCATTTTGCTTTTTTAATCTCGACAGAAATAAGAATTTAAGCAAAGCTGCTTTCATATTACAGCTCCCTTTAGGATGTCTTACCAGTTTTATTCTTGACACATTTTTTTGCAGTAAACCATCTGCTGTAGGCATAAAAACCATTTAAGTCCAACTTGTTGTGTGGAGCTAAAATATTCAAATTCCATCTTAATCATAGAAAAGTTTTACTAATAAATTTCTTATTCTTTTAATGTTGCCTCTTTTTTTTTTTTATAAATTAGTCCCTTATTTCTTCTATTTAAGAATGGACTTTTCATCAAAGTAAAAGAGCTTGGAAAACGTATTACATGGATGTTTTAATCAAACAAATAATGTCAGAATTTTAATTGTGATTTTACCGATTAGCTTAGCCACTTGGTGTTTCACTTGCATAACTTTTCTGCAATTTCTGAAAGTCATATTTTTAAAATTAGAACAAAGTTTTTTACTAACCCTACAAGTACTTTCAGTAAAAGCATCAATTTCAATGGTGTTATGATTGCTGAACTTTCTACCAAAATTCTTACAATAAATATCTCCTTGATGGTGATATTTGTATTTGTAGTTGAGAGGAATATCAGCTGTGTAACTTGTTGGATATCTTTCTTCCAAGCTATATAATCAGATAAAATGACATATTAAAAATTTATAATTGTAAGTGTCAAAACTTTTAAAGAGTGTTAATTTCATTTTGTTTTATACTTGAGAACTGAATAGAAATATATTGGATTTGAAATTATTATAGAATATTAATACTTTTAAGCTACTTTAAGTTATCCTGTATAATAATTAATAGATTTAAAACACACATATGTTGTTTTAATAGTTTATTCGTTGACACGAGTTGTGGAAATAAATTCTGTAAAATGTTGGTAAGCGTTTCTTATGAAAAAATTCTGCCATTTTTATATTATTGTTAGTTTGGAATACATTTGTAAAGAAGCCTTTCTGCTTTTAATCTTTTTGTCATGATGCATTTCATGTTTTTTATTTAAGCTGAGTTTTTTTATAGACATGTGTAAAATAAATGTTCTATGAGCATTGATACTATGTAAACACATTGAATCCAGGTTTGTTTGTTTTAGGTCTCTAAGGAAGTAAATACAATATAGTCATTGGTGACAGTATTTTTCTACTATTAAAATTGTCATTCCAAGGCTTCACTTTTCATTATTAATGTAAGATTTTGGAAAGTTGTTTTATATATTTTTTTGCCTTGTCTTTTTTATATATATATATATATATATATGTACTTCTCACAAATGTACACAGTTTTGAAAAATGAGTTCTTTGGTATTTTTCTGTTGGGTAGGTTTATATTATTCTTTATATTTCATTTTCTTCTATTTTCACACTTTTTATCATTTTCTCTATCATATTTCACTGTCTTTGTCCTCTCTGTTTACACAGTACAGTGATATATGTCACTACTAATTATCTTGCCTTTTTTTCTGTGTTCTGTCAGTGCTATTCTCAATGATGTTTTTAATGTAACTTTTACCCATAGTTAAGCATGTTATGATTTGTGATATAGTGGCTCATACTAGGTTTGTCTCGTTATCTGTTTTTCTACTACAGCTGTTTCCACATATCTTTGACTTATCACTGCCTGTCATGATCTGCATATGTTCAAACATGTTTTTCTTCCATTTTGGGCAGATATTTCCCAGAAATGACTATTTAGTGGCCACTGCCAACATTCTGAAAATGTTAATCTTGTGTTGAAACTTGAATACATTTGGTATTATATCCTAAATGAAGTATAAATACAGTCTTACACAGAAATTAAGTAGAACAGTAATTTGTTCAGGGCTTTGGGAAGAGATGTTTTTCTATTTACACTCTGGGCTTTTCATATTCCAGGTTAATTTTAATTATTACCAGGACTGTTATCTTGTCATTCTTAGATTCTGGTAAAAATCCTTTAACAAAGCTTTACTTATGGGTATGTTTTCTCCACATCATTTTTATGTTGTCTTTCTTTAATTCTCCTGAAAGTCAACATACTATACGTAAGATAAATTTAGGTTTCTGTTTGTCTCCTCAAAGCACCCAAACAAGCTTTTGTTTGATTTGTATCATAAAGCTATTCTTAGAGCAAATTTCCTTATATTCCACTTTCTCCAATAACATAATGGATATACATAACTTCCTTATATTCCACTTTCTCCATTTTTGTTTTAATGGCACAGTGGATTATTCTGCTGGTTCTTTATTGCAGCTCTTGTCTGGATGTTAGTTGTACTATGTATGATCTATTGGTGAGTATTATTCTGTCTTTGTAGGTATTCAGGTATACCTGTTTCACTTTCTACTTGTTCTATTCCTTTAGGTGGTTTAGAAGATCAGAAAAGATGTGGTTGATAAGTAAGAAATATGAAGTTTCTTCTTGTAGGACAGCTTTTTGTTTTTTCTACATGAGTAGATAATTCTTCCAGTTATCTGTTCACCTGATTCTCAGCCTTGATGCTGATCATAGATGTGTGGCTGGCTTGAAGCTATATAAACATACTTTCAAAAAATGTCAGAAAGTTGCAGGAAGATTTTACTTGTGGGTGTTTCTGGTTGGCTATTGTTACTCTTCACCTATAAATGAAAAGTTTGTACCTTAATTGTTAATTAGTTCCTAGTTGGTATATAGGATTTTCTTGTGTTCTTATCATTATTTCTCATTCCCCTGACAATGCTTGTATATTGGTATCATGTGGTCTAGAAATTAGGAAAAATAAAATTAATATCTTAACAGTAAAAATAAATTCAGTAAGTCTGTACTTTTCTTTACATCTGTGTTCTCTTTTCTTTTTCTCCACTTTAGCACATTACATTATGACTGATAAACATTCTAAATTGTACTAGCAAGTAACTAGAAATACCCTTTAATGTAGTGGTTTCCAACCTTTTATGGCCCGTGCACCCTTCCCCTAAAAAGTGTGCATTAGAAATTTTCTCTCGGTGACATTTGGGGGAAAATGAACCTTGTATAGGCCTTTTCTGCACACCCCTGGGACCCTCATTTTGCACCTCCAGGAGTGCCAACACCCCTGGCTAGGAACCCCTGCTTTAATGGTAATTTACATTAGGGTAAAAATACATAATAAGAAAAATAGGTTCAGGTGTACAGTGCAATGTATCAAATTACTATGGTGTCATGTGACATACAAGAAAGACTGGGTTTATAAATATTCTTACAGTAGAATAAGAGAGTTCATGTAATTGTAATATATCTTAAACATTTGAAACTTGCAGTTTTTGGTTGTATATTGAGATCTTTAGCTTCATGTGATAGAGAGGTAACTATGGACTAATACAATTTTAATCTTTAATTATAAAAATCATTTACAACTTTTGTGTTTGTTTTAAAAACTGTTAGATATATAAGTGTAACAGACTTTAGACTTTTACTTTTGGCACTGTGAAGTGAAACAGTTGATACTTAGGTCATATTTTAGGTACCAGTTGCTTGCAAAGCCTGTCCTTGTGGTCACTTATTTCGCAGAACTGTTGGTGCCCATAAAGTGCCTGGTAGTAAAAGTGAGGAAAACGGAGAAGGTGAAGTGAAATGCCGGCGTACAGAAAGGATACGACGAGAAAGACCAGACTACTTTAATGCTCTTCATTTTGAAAACCATCTAAAAAAAATCAGAAAAAGGGTGAAACAGCGATCAACAAATAGCACTAGCAGCTCGACTAATGAACAGGAAGGAGACTATTCTAACAGTGAGGAAAGTAATCCAGCTGGTCAAAAAAAGCGGGGACGACCAAAAGGCTCAGTAAATAAAAAAGAAAAGGATGAACCTAAACCAGGTAAGAAACATAAAAAATAAAAACAACTAAAGTAAATGTTTTTTGATAATTTTTTCAATCATCCCTTAGTGCTATAAAATCAAGATTCTGATAATAGGATGTTTTTTTTTGTTTTTTTGTATTACATTTTAGTGCACTGTTTTGTCTTTTTCCTGTTTTTTACTTATTAAACAATTACAAAAAATTTTTCTTCTGAATCCCATTGGTTTAGTTTTTTTTAACCTTCATTTTCACTGCCTTAGTTTGTTATTCCGATAAACACTGCATGTACATTTCTATTACTTTAAACTTCATTTTTCTGGGTATTTAACTTTAATTATTATTTATTAAGTATGAAAGTTCATCAGGCTTATGTTCATTCAACAGAAAAAAATATTATAATTTCATTAACAATGTTAGGTTTCATGTAGAATTAAAATGTAACACTGATCACCGAAAAGGCTTAACATATTCTGAAAAATACAAAATTGAAACTTTATTTTATTTATATTTTTATAGTAAATCATTGACAAATTTTCATGCTCTTGTTACCGTTTGGGGTTGTTTTTTCATTAAAAAAATAATTTTACCTCTTTGTTTCATTGCCTTGTTTACCTGGATTAATTTTCTATTACCTTTGTCATTTTTTATTTTTAAAGATTTCACATAATTCATATGTTTTTTCTTTGGCTTAATTGTATCAGAAGACAGTTTAGTTTCAATTAGTATTAATTTTTTGTGTTTGTTTTTTTTAACTATGAGATCTGGTGTAAATTCTAACACTGGCCGTTCTTCTTGTCTTCTGGACTGTTTCTCTTCTGTGATGTGATGGTTGTAGCATTAATATCAGTGGTGTTACATTTTAAAGCTAGTCAATTAAAGCTCAGTAGGTTTGTAAAATTGACAAATACATATACATCTACAAGAGTGGGTATCCTAGAGTTTAATGTCTGAGCACCAGAAAAAAAAAGTTTGATGTCACATAATAATAATAGTAAAGTATTTTATAGTGGGTTATGATGAACCTGTGCTTTTACAGCTTAGTTTCAGAGGGATATATCTTATGTTTTATTTATTTATTTATTTTTTGTGGTCAGTACATCACCGATACCATTTTTTTAACTACGTACTTCAATAGAACACATCACTGATACCATTTTTTAACTACGTACTTCAATAGAACACATCACTGATACCATTTTTTTAACTGCGTACTTCGATAGAACACATCACTGATACTATTTTTTTAACTGCGTACTTCAATAGAACACATCTCTAATACCATTTTTTTAACTACGTACTTCAATTGAACACATCACTGATATAATTTTTTAACTATGTATTTCAATAGAACACATCACTAATACCATTTTTTTAACTGTGCTTCAATAGAACACATCACTAATACCATTTTTTAACTACATACTTCAATAGAACACATCACTGATACCATTTTTTTAACTATGTGCTTCAATAGAACATTGATCTGTCTTATCTGAAGAAGACAATATTGCGGCAAAACATGTAGTATATTTCCCCAAAATGAAACCACTTCATTATGCTTATGAATCGTTCTCTGTCAGTTTACTAATATATAAACATATTTGAAGAGAATTGCAAATTATTAGTGTTCAAATATTAAAGTGATTTTAATGGACTTCATCCTGCTGTTTGAGTTTGTATGGAAGTCATGTTTGAACATGTTAGTTCAGGTATTAATATGATAAAGATCTTTAATATAAAATAAGAACATCATATGCAGATATCCTCCAACAGCTAGTAAGGGTTTCTTAAACTTTCCAGATAAATTAAAATTCAAACAACTATAGAAATTCAGTGCAGTACTGTAAAAAAAAAATGTCAAAGATGATAAACCATCAAGTCTTTTTAGGCTTAAAAGAAATGCTAAATTCACGATTGATTGCAAATATATATTGTCATTTCTTGAAACATTAGTCTTAATTTGTTCTAGCTGAATATAAAACTGAATATAAAAAATATACATTAAATTATGATTTCATTAATTTTTGTTATGCTTAAAACAATGTGCAGAAATTGATGAATTTCATGATAGGAGATTCTAAAGTGCATCATGTTACTTGTGATTGGTGAACCACATTTATATTTAATATCAAGTCAGATGGTGTTTGTGCTCTATGAGTAATGTATACTGAACAATGTGCCTTTAGTTTGGTTAATACCTGCTAGAGAATTACATTCTTTGTGACAATCATTATATGTTCATATAGATTGAGCTAGTAAAGTGACTTTTTTGTTTCATTCCAGTAGTACTTGTTTACACTGGGTTTCAACGTGATTTAGTGTTATTTGTGGGTTGCTGTGTTGTCAACATATATGTTTAGAAACAATATATATATATATACAGTACATGTAAATCTGTAACAATCATATAGTTTCTAATTACCATATTTATTCTATTGCTTAGGAAAGCTAAGAAAAAACCTGTAGAGTTATGTAAAAAAAGATTAATTTCTTTCTTGATATATTTTTTAGATGTGGTAATTAAATAGAGAGCCTGTGATTGTATTTTATTTATAATACAGTTTGTCTTGTTTTCATAATTACTTATTAAAAAAATGTTAATACAAGAAAGCCAATATTCTTACAATTATCCATCGAAAATACAATTTTGTACTGTTTTAAGTAATAGATACATTTGAATATCCTCCCCCCCCCCCAGTTGTAAGTTGAAAAAGAGGAAGATGTAATGGCAAATATTTCTCCCGAGAAGGTGCTTCAGTATTCAATAATCCTGGCAGAAATAAACAGAAAACTCTGTGGACAGCAGCTCAAAGTCTAAAAGTTAGCCCTATGTGGTGTTGAGAAGAACAGTCTTTTGTGAAGTGGTTCACAATCAATGACTATAATTGTGTTTTAGTACATTTGTAGCATAGTTTATGCACAATAATGTATATATTTTATTTGTAAATAACACATCTCTTGATGTTGATGGTATTTAAGTGAAAAATTGTATACATTATATTTATACAAACGTACGCAGCATATGTATGCATAACTTTTCCGTAAAGAAAATTGTTTTTTTTTCTTAATCTTTTACTTTAACCAATTTCTTTGTATACATATGAATAAATATGTATTTACATATATATTTATACTTTAAAGTATGTTAAATTGTACATGTGCATGAAAACAATGTTTTATATTGCTTTTACCATTTATTGGTAAAAAAACAAAATGTGTTGATGCTATGTATTGTGTTTCTGTGTGACTTGTTATATTGCAGTATTATTCCTTTTTATGTTTTCAAGTATTTTGAAGGTGTAATGGTTTAATAAACTGTATTATTTTCAATCTTAAAACATTTCTGATATATTGTTCTACAAAAGTAGTATTAAACTACTTGTATTATTTACTAGTACTCATGTAAGAGAATGGTTTTAATCCCAATAAAAAGAGAGGCATTATTTAAATATTTGTTGAAACCTGTATTAGATTTCATGAAGAATCTTATTAACACTTTTGGAGACAAGGAGCTTATGCCGAAAACATATATTATTGGTGCTTATTATATTTTAGAATCAGATTTACATAGTTTACTTGATTTCGTTTCTTACAAGTTTTGAAATATGATTTTGTTAATAACCACAGTGATATAGTTATTTTAACTGTAATACCTCATATAATTATTTAATTAAGATCTTATGTTCTCCTATTTTATAATTTCATCACACACTTAATTAACATGCTCTGCATCTTTCAGGTTTCAGGATCTTCTGTAATTGTAAAAAAAAATGATATCGTGATTACAGAAAACAAAATTATGTGAGTATGCTTGTAATTTTTTTTTTTGCCATATTTTCTAAAGTTTTTTTTCTTTCTTTTCTATTAAGGGAAGTACCAATTTCAGAGTGTTTCAAACTTGTCAAACCAATAGAGTTACCCGATACTATGATGTCCTTGCTAATTTTGATGTCACAGACCTATTCACTAACATCCCAACTGCAAACATCCTCCACTTCACCTAACAACGACTGTTGAATTATAACTCTCTTACATACAGAACTGACACGAAAGATAGAATCTATTATGGAACTAACCACAGTTTTTCCACATACTTTCAGTAAAACAACAAACAGACAGCCTTGCCATGAGATCACCTCTCTTCAGTTTTAGCAGACATTTTTGTTGAAGAATTTAAACAAACAGTTCTCTCCTTTATGGACAAAAACCTTATCTTCACAGATACTACATTGAAGTCACATTTATTATCTGGTCCCATAGAAAAGTAACTAGTCTTCTTACAACACCTTAACTCCATAGACAACAGAATCCACTTCACAGTAGAAATATAGAACAGTAACAGCCTGCTGTTCCTTGACATTTATATCAACAGACAAGATGACAAACTTGCTACAACCGTATACAGAAAACCAACTTATACTGATAGATACTTATAGTTCCAATCTTACCGTCCACCTTCTGTCAAATGCAGTATTATTACATGTTTGGACAACAGAGCTGAAAACATCTGGGAGAAAACCCCATCAAAACTGAATGGCAATGCATCATACAGTATTTTAATTAAACCGAACGTGTACCCATTTAGTTTCATCACCATTAGCTTGAAGAACATAAAGATACAAAATGATACAAGAAAAACAAGACCAACACTGTTGACTTCCCATATGTGCAAAAACCTAAGGGAAAAGATCAAATGTGTAGCCAAAAAAAGCTCAATGTTGATGTCAGCTGAAAACCTTATAGAACATTCAAATCTGTGTTTGTCAGTTGATGTCAGTTGGAAACCGTACAGAACACTCAAATCTGTGTTTGTCAATTGATGTCAGCTAGAAACCTTACAGAACACCCAGATCTGTGTTTGTCAACTGATGTCAGCTGGAAACCGTACAGAACACTCAAATCTGTGTGTGCCAACTGATGTCAGCTGGAAACCTTACAGAACACCCAGATCTGTGTTTGTCAATTAATGTCAGCTAGAAACCTTACAGAACACCCAGATCTGTGTTTGTCAACTGATGTCAGCTGGAAACCTTACAGAACACCCAGATCTGTGTTTGTCAATTAATGTCAGCTGGAAACTTTACAGAACACCCAGATCTGTGTTTGTCAACTGATGTCAGCTGGAAACTTTACAGAACACCCAGATCTGTGTTTGTCAAAACTAAGCAATGGGTGACAAACACAAAAACATCATTTATGAAATATAATTTTCTTCCAAACACACCTACATTGGAGAAACTGGAAGACATTTTGGGGCAAGAATAAAATGATATAAAGACTGCACAACACCGATAAAAAATGTACATTCTGTCACGGCAGAATATGCCACATTGACTGAGACAATTACGTACTCAATTAAATTCTGGACAACAAGAAAAATCAAATATTCTTTCTATGTTACCAATATGGTGTAATAAATGATGAGTTGACCAATATGGTGTAATAAATGATGAGTTGACCAATATGGTATAATAAATGATGAGTTGACCAATATGGTGTAATAAATGACGAGTTGACCAATATGGTGTAATAAATGACGAGTTGACCAATAGTAGCCTCAAACTGCTGATTTCCAAGTCCAAGTCTCTTTTTAGTGATCATTTCATTGTGTGGACTTTATTCAAATCTTGTTTTAAAAATACCTATTAACTCGTAATGTTTGTTAGGAACAATGTCGTCTAATTAGAATACCACCATTTTCGATTATATGTAGAAAAATTTGACTTTTCTTTTTTCATTGTTATTATCCTTATACCTACCATAACATAGTTTACTTCTTGTGATTCCTAACTAAAGTACTTCTGTTAATTGAGCAATGAATTAGTTTATATATCTTATAATTTTCTTAATACTACTTAACTTTAATATGACTTTCAAAGCCTTTAACTAATTCATTTCAGCATTATTATTTCATACTTAAAAACAACAACAACAAAAAAAAGACATTAATGATTTCAAAATCCTATTAACATACTTTTATAGATGATTTAGGAAGATGATTCATGATGAAGAAAGGTAAAATGGGCAGCTACTGGATAGTTGACAGTGACATTTGTAGAGAAAGTCATTAAAGACTAATCTGCAAAAGTAGCTCAGGTAGAAAAGACAAAGTTTCAAAAGCCTTCCATCTTCAGGTCAGTTTGCACTGGATTCGCAGGGGGTTTATATGGTATCTGGAAATATTTAAATGATTGTGACATGACTGGCTGCTGGTTCCTGTAATAGAGTTGGTGTAATAAACGATGAGTTGGAGATGATACATTTGGGTGATGGGTTAATTAATGTAAACCCTTCTACACAATTCTAGCTGAGACAACTGAATGTTTACCTTCAGGTGGCACATTTATAAGATAATAAATTTGAAGTAATAGTCCTATACAGATGTGTTTGATGCTCACATGCTTCTTAATCCATTTAAAACACAAGACATGTAACGTTTTGATCTCCTTTTGTCCTGATGATGATGTAAGGGGTTGAAATGTTATTTGTTTTATGTTTTAAATAAAAGTTTTCAATAGCCATATCAGCAGTCTCTACCATATATTTACTTCAAGTGAATTCCTCGTCATCATGAATTCTTCCATTGTTTTGTTCAGTTATTAACCTAGAGTTAGTAATTGCTAATAGCATACGTATTGTTTTAATCCATAGATATAAGCAATGGGCTATCTGTGCTCTGCCCGCAATGGAGATCAAACCCGAATTATGGCATTGTAATCACAGAAGCTTAACCACAGGAAGAACATTTTTGATATAAGATCGAAATGGACCTTTTATTCACTATTGTTTGTAAGTGTTTGTTTTCACGCATATGGTGTGGCACATAGCATTCAGTTGATCTTCTCTTAGTGGAAACAACAGTGACACAAATTTATGTATTTACATTTGTGATTTATTAAAAGTAGTATAAAATACTTGCGCTCCTCTGTGGGGTTCAAAGGCCCCCTCATGATTCACAGAGGCACCAGTGTATAGTTCAAGCTCCAGTAACTCCATTTAATTCTGTAGCTACCCCAAGAAGGTTCCGTACCCAATAAGAAGCCCCATTAGGACACCCACTCGTGGTATCTGAGCACATGTGACACATTTGGTCCTGCTATCTTGTGAGAGAGAGGGATATAAACAAGGTTTCAAACTTGGCACCCAAGGGGGCTGTACACAAATTCTAATACCAATTTGAAGTTCAGGGACTCTTGAAAACCCACTTCCCTGACCCCATTGTGCCTGGGTGACCTTCCGGGCTGCACCATAAAGATAAGGACCACCCTTGGTCATTTGTTTTTGTTTGTTGTAGAGCAAAGCTACATTGGGATATCTGCTGTTTCCACCGTGGGGAATTGAACCCCAGATCTTAACGTCAAAAGTTCGACACTACCGTTGTCCCACCGCACCCTTGGTCAGTCTGCCAAGTTTGATCATGTCAGCTACAAAACTGTGGGACGAGTTCGCAAACACACAATGCAAGTTAATATAAGATTAATTTGTTAAACTTATGTTGGATTGCTTTAATACAGTATGTTCTATGAGATTTCTGGCCACCACTTTATTTGTTATCGTGTAATTAAGTTTGTTAATTACAGGGATAACAAATAAAGTGGTGGCCAGAAATCTCATAGAACATACTGTATTATAGCAATCCAACATAAGTTTAACAAACTTAATTACACGGATAACAAATAAAGTGGTGGCCAGAAATCTCATACAACATACTGGATTATAGCAATCCAACATAATTATGTTGGATTGCTATAATCCAGTATGTTGTATGAGATTTCTGGCCACCACCTTATTTGTTATCCGTGTAATTAAGTTTGGAACATACTGTATTATAGCAATCCAACATAAGTTTAAGGATAACAAATAAAGTGGTGGCCAGAAATCTCATAGTGTAATTAAGTTTGTTAAACTTATGTTGGATTGCTATAATCCAGTATGTTCTATGATATTTCTGGCCACCACTTTATTTGTTATCCACCGTAATTGAAATCCATAAGCTATAATCTAGTACAACTGGTGTAACGTGACATTCTGGAGCAAAGAATGAAAGAAACTCATTTTCATTTAAAACTAACATAAATATTTATTAATGCCTATAGCAAATACAAAGAATATAGTCAAACTGTACTGGCGGTCTTGTTTAATGATATTAGCATCTGCACGTGGGAATAAATGAAATGTTATCTCATTGTAAAGAAATTCAACTGTATGTGAAAAAAAAAACTTTCTTTTCTTTGTCTACAGATAGAAGCAGTATCAAGATATAAAATGATTTGGTTTTGTATTAGGCTTAGTATCAAGATATAAAATGATTTGGTTTTGTATTAGGCTTAGTATCAAGATATAAAATGATTTGGTTTTGTATTAGGCTTAAAAACCACCTTGATTATTACTGCTAACTTTTAAAGACACAAAATATCTAAGTTCCTTATTTATAAGTAAGTTCGTTCTA